TTGGCGTTTTTATATTTCCTTCCATTGGGTTCTTTTGAGGAAATTCTTTAAAAAGCGCCTGACAAACGTACGACATAGCATGCAGGATTTTGTTTATTTTAATCAAGAGACGTTTCGCAAAGGAAAGAGTTCAAAAGGTCATATTAATATTCTAAGAATTGCGGAAGTTTCGATAACATGAAATAGAAAAGCCCACTGAAATTTAAACTTTAATTTACCCCCTAAAACTATGAGGCATTCAAAAAAAGAAATTAAGATTAAAAGCAACGTAATAAAAAAGGTAAAATGGCGATATTAGATTTCTTAAATAATTTCTATAATATGTATATCTTTATATTATTCGAATTGTCTTTCTCAAGTCATTTTTTTTTGTAGAACGATATACAGTATAGTATTTCAAAAAGTTTTGTTGATTTTTTTTTTTGATTAAAAATGGTATAAATAGAGGTATGATCGGCAATACAAATTTGAAAAATTGTGTTCGACCATAAAGGAAAAAAAAATTTTTTTTTTATGCAAGCTAAAAAGATTTTGATACTTAGAATCAAAGGATCAAAAAAATAAAAGAGTTTTAGAAATTTTAATTAGATTGAAGAAAAAATATTAAATTCCGATTAATTTTGGTAATTCAAACTTTTAATGAAAGTTCAATAATATAATTTTTTTGATATAAATGAACGCTTCTACCAACATTTTTCAAAAAAAAAAAAAAAAGAAAAAAAATTTAGACTAGAATCAAAATAACTCCATTTAAGAAACACATTATATATATATTTTTCAATATAACGCAAACATGTCTTTAGAAGTATGTTTAACTTATTACATGTCGACCCCTGAATTTTAGCATGTGTAGTAGATGTAGGTTATTTAGTTGACATCCAATAAAATGTAATAGATTTAGCAGATGTGCGTCAGTTGACTTTGACTTAACAAATAATAAATCATGCGTATACTGCGATTGGCTACTGTTTGTAATACAATATACTATAATAAATAATGCCCGCCGATAGAAATTCATTTGTATCCCGATAAACCACAAATAACATACAAAGAAGAACGGCGAACATTTCACTATACAATTATAAAAGAAGGTTTTTACCCCAATAAAACCCTTCTAAAGTTTTCATGAAAACCTAATAGTTTTCCATTACCTGATAATTATTAAGTTTTAACAACCTGGAAAAAGAAAGCTAATGTCGTTAAATGTTCCACAGAAAATGAAAATTCTAGACCAGTCTTTAGGATATATTTTGGTGATGAATTTGACCAGGTATTAGAAACTACACAACCGTGCACAGCTACAGCAACACACAAAAGGTAAAATTTTCTATATATTAAAATTTTATAACAAAGTTTGTATATTTATTTTTTATATTAACACTCTTTATTTAATTTAATAGAAACTTAATCCTAATACTCGTAATCTGTTATCAGATACATTATTATTTGGTATACAACTTCAGATCTTAAGAACTGCACGTGAAACAAGGACTAGAAAATTAAAGGCTTATGATAAAATAACAATAAGACAAAATATGAAAGAGCTCAAAATCTTTCTAAACATACTAGATCAGCTTTCAAAGAACTTAGTAACTGCTTTTACAATTCTGATGATAACCCAGTTTTAAAGTCAGTAACATTTGGCGTTCAAAATAAAGATATTTTTCAAATTGATTTTGGAAAAATAAATGAAGATGAAGTTAAATTAAAGCGTATTCTTACAGTTAAAAGCCATTGATCAAGAACAAATACCGGAATAGTTATCAAGTAATTATACTTTTATCTAATAATCTTGTTAAAGAATAGGCAATGTTAAAAGAAAATTATCTATTAATAATGAAATGCAAGAAAAGATTCCAATTTATATTATCAAACTAGATCATCATTACTCTAATGAAACTTTGGAAGATGCTTCAGTTATAACTGATCCTGAAGTAATTCAGATTATTTATGAATCAATTGGGAATGAAGTATTATAAAAATATTTGATTCCTTTTTTAATAAAATGTGGTATTTAAGATTCAGATGATCTAATAATTCATCTTCAGATTTCAGGTGATGAGCGAAATGTTGATGACAAATAAAGCATATTATGGTTACTTTTACAATTATGAATAATAAGAACAATCTGCAAAAATCAGATTCTCACTATATAATAATTCTTTATCCTAGAACTGAAAATTACACTATTTTACAAATAGCATTAAATTCAATGCTTAAAAACTTTAACATTTAAAAGAATATGAATTTTAAGATCAAACTGGAATTAATTGAAATATTTAGCTCTAACTAGAAGTTTTTAGCACTTTGTTTAGGATTAAATTATGCAAATTCTACTTATTTTTGTCCTTAGTGTATGGTACAAAACATAATCAGGGTAATCTTCAAAATGTTAGAATATAACAAAAGATATGAATAATTTAAAAAAAATTTTTTTCTTGTTATCCTGATCATATATATTAACTATTATTTAGTATGATTCTTATTAAAAATTGGATGGTTAATGAGCTACATATAATGCTTCAAATTACAAATCATCTTTGGGTACTTATAATTCAAGAATTTAAAGAAACAAAAAAATGGAATGATTATACATTAAAGTTAATTATTGAAGAAATAAAGTGTATTAAAGTTATTTTTATTTTTATGAAGATTATAAAACAAGAATCTGGCATTATACATCTTTAATGGGATCAGAAAACTTAAAGTCCTTCAAATTTTGATTTAAGCAAATTTTTTCAACCATCATGAGCTTTGAAAATTTAAAATTTATGGAATTCTTTTTTGAATTATATAAATTAATACATGATTTTTAAATCAATCCAACTGAATTTAAACAAAAAGCATTTGCTTAACTTTAACTTTTTTAAAACCTTCTTTTAGATTACCTAATACTTCAAATTATATTCGTGATTTATATTTCTAAAAATATAATATCTTATATATATGTACTAGTATATTATAAAATAATATTAATATATAGAAGCTTTGGATTAAAATTATTCTTATACTCAGTTGTTGAATGTAAAAATCATGACCATATGTTATTATTTTTTAGACGTATTATGAAGGATATTGGTAAAGGTACTGATCAAAAATCAAGTATTTGAAATATCTTAAAATTTGAAAATCGATTGTTATATTATTTACACATATTATAGAAAATAATTTATAGAGGGCTACCAAAAGTCTCTGAACACTTTTTGGCTCATTAAAAAACTTAAAATTTTATAATATGAATAAAAAAAGTTTATTAATA